GTCTCAGTAACTTATGGTGATGACAAACTGATTCAGGGGCAGCTTAAGTTGGAGAGTCTTCTTAGGCTCGAACAGGAGCAAAACCTACTATAAAACGCACAAGTGTTACAGACGGAAGCTGGTGAAACTATTTTAAGTACTTACGCGGTCTTGTAGGGTTCATAGTTCTAAATCTGGATTCCAACACAAAGGTCTAAGCTTTACCAACAGCAGAAACTCACCGAGACTCCTCACCCTCGAGCATCTTTCTATACATGAGGATTTCCTGGTCCAGAGCGATCTTGGTATTCATGAGGTCCGTGAACTCACTGAAGCGCTGCTCCAACTCATCTTGCAGGCGTTTTACCTCTGCGCGCTGAGCTCGTAACTGATTCTCAAAGTCTTCACGTTCCTGATTCAACAGACGATCTAAGTCGCTCAACCGTCTATTCAGGAGGTCTACTTCACCCGTCTTTTTGGCCAACTCATGAGTTAGGTCATCGGCTCGCTTCCTCACAACGATAATTTCGTCCCGAAGTCTCAGCGATTCGCCAGAGGCGTTCGCATTAGCGGCACGTAATTCATCGAGCTTCTTCTGCAAGGAAAAAGTACTCTGAATTTGTCCACTTTCCAGACAGTATACAGTGCCTGAGTGACTAAACTAAGGGAAAATGACAAAATACGAGAACACAACGGTTCGTTTTTTGAGGCTGGACCTAGACTCTAGTTGTCTTTAGAATTTATTGTGCAGGAAACGAAGCTTTGCATATATGACTCGAATTAAACCCTAGTAACACATGGTTCAAGTCAGCCATAAGCGGGTGTTGTACCAACTTTCAAGTTGCTTATTTGCGTCTTCTAAAGAAATCTCTCTGGGTTGCTCAGTCAACGATTTTCTATGCTGTCGGCCGGTGTTTAAAATATGGACAGTTCTTGAATATCCATCCGAGGTTGAAGGACGCCACTTGATAATAACTCCTCTCAACCGCTACAAAGTTCTAATTTTGTTCGTAGCTTTCGACTAGATCAGAGTTTGTTCAAGAAAATATGATCCCCTCGCAGGCACTTGAATGTCGCACTGCGTAACGCAAAGCAAAGCCTCTGAATAAATGTATAAAAAAACATGCGAGGTGGACTGGTGAAGGCTTATGCTAGAGGGGAAGGCGCTTTTATAGGATTGTTTTTAGAGGCAGTCTATAACGAGTCGAAATGGCAAAGGCGGTTAGAAACACTATGGTTGTGAGTAGGGATAGCATTCGAGGCCAACATGCAAAACCGTGCTTCGACCAAGTGATGTGTGAATGGGTTTCGGTAGCCTCAAAGGCATGAGTAATTTGTTCCAAGAAAGAGACAAAGCGCCCACGTATTGAAGTTCGGTCATGGTCTGAACGGAGGAAATCAACTGATGACGTAGAACGTGAATATCACTGACAACAACACGTAAATGGGGTCTGTTTCTGGCGGAAGGCGAGTTAGGAAGACCGGATTTCTAGGAACTTAACAAAAAAGCTTGCCTGGAAAGTGTTCTCCATTTGAGATCGGTACTCCTGCAACTCATCACCGGTCTGTTGGCGAAACGACAAAAGTTCGTCGGCCAGACGGCTTTCGAACTCAGCAGCCTTCCGATCCTCAATCTCCTCCTCGATTGTGAGAGTTCGGCTAACGAGTTTTTGACGTTCCTGTAAATACGCAAGCAGTGGGCATCTCTAAAAATAAGACTCGTTACCTCATCAAAGAGACGGTTTTTGAAGTCAAGCTCCTCACGCAGACCAGCCACTTTATTTTCCAAATCAGTTCGGAGGATGGTTTCGGCCTCTAGATCACGCCGCATAGCTTCAAGACGTTTTTCCAGGGTATCAAACTCTGGCTTCAGACGTTGGTAGCGTTCGTGATCGTCCTTGAAGGCCGAGAGATCGTGCTCAAGGGCATCAATCTTGCGCTGCAGGCCACGGGCCTCCAGGTCCCGCCTAGCCAACTTGTTTTTGGCATCAGCCGCATCATCCCTGTGCTTTTTCAACTCCATGTCAGTGGCCGCTTTCTGCTTTGCCAAGTCGTCCACCAACTGACGCAGTGAGGCAATCTCGTCCTCGTAGGTCCGCCGAGCCTCGTCAACGCGCGAGATACGCTCCTCAGTTATGGTCTGCATCTTCCTCTTCATTGTCTCCTTGTCCTTCTCCAGCTTGCGCACATAATCAATATAGTGCGCTAAACGGTCGTTCAGACTAGCCAGCTCCTCCTTTTCATCAGAACGGGTGATATTTAATGGACTGGCAGAGCGTTCGCGTCTGCGTGAAGAGGAGAATGACTCGCGCGAAAACTCGGAAGAAACAGATACATGCGAGCGGTCCATTGTCGCAGACTTTTGGGGGGAATCTGATTTCCCTTGATCGAGTTGCTTGGTCTTTCTCGATCTAGCAGACATTGTTAATTAACGCTAAAACGGAAAAGGAAAAAATAAGACTCAGTTCAGGCTGCTTTTTTCACGAATTTATCAAATGCACAGCCAAGCACAGATAACTGAAAATCTACCGGTAGTCCCATCTGACGCAAAAACGATTTTTGTGAGTCATCCCCTTGGTGCCGTTTGAATTTGAAATAAAGTCGCAAACAAGCCGTGGAACAACAGAACTAAGAACATTCGAGTGCATGCGTCTGGCACTAGAGGAGGAAACATGTGAATGACGAAAAAACACGGGTAAGGAAGAAAATATTCGGTGGAATTATGGGCTCAATTGTTTGTGGAACTGAGCCTACTCCCGAAACCCCACTAACGCGCGCACGGTGAAGCATTCAAAAGTTCTCTGCCAGTTAGAAACTCAAGCCCTGAGAACTCGACCGTTCACTTGCACACTTAAAACATTGCGGAAACTGTTGTCTTGAACCCCTTATCCTCAGGCAATGTGACAGCTTTCAGCCTGCGCTGACTTCCCCTTGTAGAATGCAAAGTGGCGGCGCTCTACCGGCATCTCCAGTAAATGGTCTGCCCAGCCAAGACATCTAAAAAGCAATATTGACTTAAGGGGCTATCCATGCTGTAGTTCGCAGGATTCAGTACAACAATACCACTCCTGATTTGCTCCCAGAGATCCAGTCGAGCAAGACTGCCTGGACATCGCATCAAACGCCCAATGTTGAATAATGCTATGCTGGAGTTATCAGACTTGCCTATATAAAGTTTTTTTCAGTTTCCTAAAGAACAACAAAGAGGCAAAAGTGGGCCGAGATTAAGCAAATTGGTTTAGTCATTCATGAGGTCATTTGAAATCACTCTTGTAGTCTGTCATGGGCAAGCAGAAGCAACGTCACCTGGCCACAAAGGGCTAGGGTAAGGCACACAGATAGCCCTGTGGCGTTGAGACCATGAACGGCCGTTAGATAAGTCCTTTTTATCACTGCTCACTTACGGGTAAGCTTAAAAGAGTCAAATCGCTAGGAGAAACAACCTCGTGAAAAAAACTGCGGATCCGCCGACTGGATTACTCACAACGAAAACGCGACAGTGGTAGACAAAACAATGGAGCAATGTGAGGTCACAGGGAGCGCTCATTACAGTAAGTGGCATATCCCAAAAAACAGCCGAAATTCTTAAATGTAATTTCGGTTAGGTAAGATCATTGTAATGAGTATTACACAGCATACGCCCAGAATATTTTGGTCGCGTCATGATGTTGGCCTTTAAACGTACATTCTTGACAGCCATTTGCAAAAATCACACCCGCTAATATGACTACTCGAATAGAAAGTTTTTCTTGTTGATCTTTAACGCCTGTATATATCCGAATACATTCTACAGAAAGCATGCACAAAAGCATCCATTTTGCAATAAATTGCGCCCTCGTTTTTTTTCACCGGGGAAAGGACATCCTCCAGTTTTAAAACCCTTTTGAATCTAACCTGCCGCTCTACTTGCGTTAGGACTTCCGAACCACAAACTGTACAGTGTTTATCTGATAAATGTCACGCTCTGTTATGATACTAAGAAGTTACAATGCAAAACTCATAAAATTCCGCAATGAATATGGGCCGTGTTGCACACTTCATAAGGAGCATTAGTAAATAGGCAGACGAGACGGTACTTGAGCAGACATTTGACGGTCTTGCCAAATTCCATAATTACAGTATTTTAAAGCGAGACACCGCTCCGTACAAAAGGAAAATTAACGGTAACATCTGCTACAAAATGGGAATAAGAAGTATATCTTGTATGTCTTCTATAAGACATGTCTAGATCTACATGAGCACCTAAAGTCAGTATTACTTAAGCAATTTTGTTAGTGTCATTTCCTCAGGCATCTGAGGTGTGCATTCCAGAGCCGGCATCCTGGCGTGACTGAACCGACACTATATGACAGCTTTTTGGTTAAGGTTTCATGAGATACGCCTCCCGGCTGTAAACTGCGAGATCTCATTACTGCTATCTTGTGTTTAGATTTGCCCTGTATCATGCTCTTTATGCCTCGTCTTGGGGACATTCCTGCCATTTTGCCTGTCACTACCCCTTCTTTGAGCAATATCGACTCAGTTCCAATCGGTTCTCATGACGATCGGACCTTCTAGTCCCAGACCGGCGAGCCAGTGATTGAGGCACCTACACACGGCTGTTACAGTCCTCTGCAACACGCCATGCATCACTTCTGCCGCAAGCATGCGACCCAGTATGCCAGCGCTGACAAACTGTCGCATGATGGAACATGCGCGTCACAATTGGCTGGGAAGCAGCCTGCTACATGAAACTGGAACCAATTCGTGTGGATAGCCACCACCACCAGTTCACTTGTTCATTGCCAGACAGACATGGACAGCCGACTGGTGCATGGACGAGAGAGTCAGGCCGACGTTGGGGAATCCTTCCTCGAAACCCAGCAGCGCACTCCTCACTATAATTACTCTGACGTGCTTGGATCTATAACGACACGCTGAGTCGTGGACTGGAGGTTTGTCAAATGACAATGCCACTCGGTCCCTCTCGTGACTGAGAACCAGCTACAATATATCCGGCCACATATTGCCGTAAAGGGCTGCTTCACAAAAGTACACTTGGAGAGTGTCTGGAGTGCGGAACTGATAGCTGGTTGTCCGACTACTGGAGGCTCATGAACGGCGAATTGCCTTGAAAAAGCACAGGATTTTACTGCAGGATCTAGCCGAACCTCTAGACGGTGACAATGACATTACGAACGGCTTGAGTAGGCCAGATAACGCGCCGGAAAGTAATGAGCCACATAATTGCCGACTACAAGCATTGCCAGACACGACTGCATACAGGAATTACTGACGACTGCATGTCGCGTTTCTTATACTGCTTCTAGATGTTCCACGAAAATCTGCCTGGCCGACTTAAACCTCGGGGATTCATACGATCTAACCGGCAATTATTAGACGGAAACTAGGACGTTGGGGCAAATCTTTTGAGGACCGCTGTATATTTGTAAATAATTTTCACTTGGTTACTTGACTTCGCAGACTTCTCTCTAAGCTACAACAAAGATTCCATAAATTGGTACTGAAAACCGCCCTCAACACCAAGGTAAACGATCCAGTATCACATTTGCGCTTTTGGTATTTGGATTACAAATACCGACGGTTAATAGAGCCCTTTCCTATAGCCTGATACTTTGATAGTCACGAGCGCAAATTTAGCCAAGACTCATAAGCTAGAAAATTCTGTCGTGAATGGGAAGCATTTTCGCGTATAGCAATCCGAAATGTTCCAGAAGATGACTATGTGCTGCTGGTGGTGGTAATCCCATCTAATACAGCAGAGGTCGGAGCGGCTACTGTAAGGAGCGTCAGTATAGCTTGTGAGGACATGTGCGACGATACGTTTACATCCGATTAATTTAACTGTGCTAATAGGAAACTCCAGTTATAGCCATCACAAGCAAACAAACTGACACCCTATGATCGGAGAATACTGCGTCGGTGAACTCGTGTAACCGTCAACTTCTGTTCATTTGACAAACAGTGACAGCAAACCATCGAACTTTCATGGACTATGCTAGATTGCAGCATGCAATAAAAACGACCCCAATACAGCAGTTTATTGAAACATCTTTCCCCATATAAAAAGGGAGTAGTCAAGCGGTTAAAGCTTTGGATTACAAAGCCCAATGACCATAAAGCAGGGAAACTCTACACCAGTCGACGAACTGCCAGACATACAGGCTGACCATGATCCACGGTTTTCTTGTAGCATTCATATTATTGGCAAACTCCGTTAACTCGTGTTTTCTCTTTTCTGACCTACGCAACTGTAGGTGCGAGGTTGAACAGACGTCAGAGCCAACGCCCTTCGACGTGGGTTCGTAATCTACGCAAACACATGAGCAATCGTAAACTGCAGGCAAGTAATTAGGTAATGACACTGGCGCCAGCTTTATTTGCCAACGCAACGGCCTCATGGATCTATGAACAATAAAGTTCCGGCAAATCATTGGCTTATTCAACTTTGAGCGCATCACGCGTGACAATACATGTCTTGCAATACTTCGTAGCAGTTAGATAATTCGGCAGCCAGTTGAATAAGGAGGACCTCTAAGGGCGTAAGTTGCTAACGGGTCCCATGGCATTCAAACGTTCTGCTGCTTTTTTTGTCCTGAAGTCCTCCGCAAGTCCGGGGGCAGTTATTTATGAGCAGCCGATAGCTAGGACCGAGTTATATGTGAATATTATATCAAAAAACGACAAGTAGAGAGGTGTTGCATGACGTTCGTGTCTTCCGTCAAACAAACCAACCGTACTCATAGAAGGAGTGGTCGGTCATGGCCGCATAAACTGCTTTGACTTACTGGACACCTCTAAGCTACCTTACATATCAGCAGATGTACTTCAGGTCAACACCAGGCTTAACTGAGATTCAGAAGCCTAAATTACGAGGTTAGTGCGAGGGTCCACAATAAAGTTCGCCTGCCTAGCATCACGATTTGTGGCGTTCAGTTCCCCCAAATGTAGCGATCTGGCAGATCTAAGGTCATTGCTACGTAACAGTTAATAAAAACAGACCATTATTCAAAGAAGGCGACCCAAGCATTCATCTCCCGTCGACTTAAAAGAGAGCCCTTCCACAACCTGATCCTTTAGAGTGGTACAAACAACCTAAAGAAGTTTCACCGGTTCCATCTAGGTCGGATACCCTGCAGCAGCATTTTCAACTATGGCAACTGCATGCACATACGCGGCTTAAGCAACGCATATTGGGTCGTACGACTCGACACACGTGTGTGGATGACGTATCCATGAATTTCGTGGCACAGTCATAAGTTTTTGCAGAAAATGAACAACAAGTAGGGAGGAAACAAAACGGAAGTCATCCATGGAAGGATGATTTTGGGAGAGAATATCAAAAACACAATCACCTCCGAGCGACCTACAGCACGAGCCCAGGGAGTCACTTTTGAATGACGTTTCGAATTCGACCAACTGCGGAGAAGGTCGGTGGGACGGTTTCGATGTCCAATGTCCGTTGTGAGGGGTGAATGTATGGGCGTCCAGGCTAGAACTATTGAAACTGAGGAGATGGGAGCCTCCCTTAGAATTATCAGATAACATAAAGAGAATTTAAAAAACTGCGTGTAGGATTAGGGTCTTACGAACTGCAGCAACCCTAGAAATTTTGAAGGCAGATGAAGAAACCAAAAAGCAGTGACAGTAAATGCAAAATATACACGACAAAACAAGAAAGCTGGTAAGCAAGAAAAGGTTCAATTCACTTCGGTTCATTTTATAGGGGAAAATAGGAGTTAGCCTTTGAGTACCCTATTTGCCAGGTAGAAATGTGTGGTATAAAGAAAAATGTTCTGGGCTGAAATAGCTCAGACGAGCCCATAATGGTAGGACAAGATTGGAGTAGGTCACAGGATATGAGCTTAACCCCTCATCGCCCTTGTTTATTTCGGAAAATAAATATGTCAAGGTTCTTTTTAAAGCTTTGTGCCTAACACATTTTTAACTGGTGACGTCGCAGG